TCCTCCTCAACCTCCCGCCCCGACCCCGACTACGCCGCCCTCCGCCGCCTCCTCCTCCGCCGCAAGTCCTCCTCCGCGCTCAACCACCGCATGGTACCCGCCCTTAGATCCCTCCTCCTGCCATTGGCATCATGTTCGTTTTCATGCGCTGGGGACAATGTATGATTGGATGGATTGCCATGGGGATGCTGCAGGAGTGGCGGTGCAACGGCAAGGGCTACGTCGCCTACCGGAACTTCCTCCTCCGCCGTATCGAAGCCGCCTCAAGCAGCGCCCACAGCACGCCCAGCAACAGGTGACGCCTCTGATTGCTCTGAGCTTCAGTCGCCTGACACGCCCCTACCTTAGACGAAACGAGATCAAAATGTTGCTAAGCTTGTGTACGGTGCTGTAATTAATGTAAATTCGAAGTACTGCTTATGCTTGTCCGCTAGTTTCTTCTCAAGCCCAATCGTTTAAGCATGAAGTCTGATGTGAAGGGTGAAATCTAACATCCTCGGCTTTCTGGTTGACCAGTGGGAGGTGGTTTGCTAGCCCTACTACATTTTCTGAAGCAGACAGCTGGAGTTCTATCAGGGTTTGTTCTTCTAGCTTTTCCCATGAAGCTTGTTCTGTTCCTGAAGAAGTGTGTGTACACATGTTGCCGTGAAGTCTGATGTACTTCTTTGCCGCAGGACCTCAGAAGTAACAGCGGTAAGTTAAGCCGCACCATGAGTGTCAGCTCAAAGCAGAGTGAACCTGAGCGCCATGTCAGATTCGCCGAACCTGCGTACTCGTTTGTTGGAATGCATTGCATCTTTGACAATTGCAAAGCATCAGGTTATTTGCTCTTAGTCATGCTAGACAGTGTCTTCTGTGTCAATGATGAAGTATTCTCCTATGAGCTAATTGAATAGTATCGATTTTACCCTTGGCAGTTACCGTATTGCAATTTGGCCGCACGAATTCAGATCTGCTTGCTTATGGTTCATCCGATGGCAGTTTGACGGTTTGCCAGGTTTCTGAGCCACCCTCTGTTCTTCAAAAATTAACAGGACATTCAAAAGATATCACAGGTTAGACCACTTAATCGTATTTGTAAAACTATCTTTTTTTTGTATATCTACCTTCACTTTTACTTTCAACAAATTATTTGGTTTCAAGGGCTAAGAAAACTGAGATCTCCACCTAGTAGCATACATTCCTATGTGCATAAAATCTGCATAGGACCATGTCCCTTGTGTCGTGCCATCTCCTGGTGTTTATGGGCTCAGTAACCAAGAACTACTTACTTAGGCCATGTAATATTACAAAATAACTTTGTAGTTCTCATGCAAGTTAATGAAGGCTTGCTATGCATGCCCAAAGCTTTTGGTTCTACTGCTGTCACATTTAGCAAACATACTGATTCGTTAATTGTGGTTTCCTGTTATAAATAATACATTCCGCTCTGGTCAAGAGGACAAACCCTAGTGCTGAGCATATAGAATCATTATGCACAGAAGTAATACTATAACTAAATGAATTTGGGCTTGTGATAGCTAAAATGGTAGTGCAAGACTCGAAAAGATATGATATTGTATGTACTTTGTGAATGTAAGCGAAGCATGATCAATTCAAGCTGTACTTTCCTGTCTATTCCCGTATCTTGAGTTTATTATTATTCTAACGGCATTACAGATTTTGATTTTTCATCTAATAACCAGTACATAGCTTCATGCTCCATGGATAAAACTGTGAGAGTGTGGGAGATCTCTAAAGGCACTTGTATCAGAGTCGTATATGGAGTTTCTTCCCAGCTATGCATCTGCTTTCATCCCGTAAGTCCAAACTTAGCAGAAAAGTATGATTGTTACTTTTTCCTATTCCTTTCACCAATGCTTTTTGCCTGCATCTGCAGTGCTAATAAGTCACTATTCCTTTTACAATAACCAACATAAATTATCTCTCGTATCATATATTTACTGGTGGTTCCTTTCAAACACTTTATTGCAGGTGAACAATAATTTGCTGTTAGTTGGCAATGCAAACAGGGAAATCAATGTAAACTTCCTGCCCTGTCGCTCTTACAATCTATATACAATAGTATGCTTTTGCATATGTTGCTTGTTGGCTGGTCCTCTGATCAATTTTCTGTTGTGCAATAATAAGAAAAATGATGTTTGTCTGTTCTGGTATTTATCAGTGAAAATGATGTACCTGTTGTCCGTTAAATAATTTTAAATCACATCAACCTTTGTAATCAGAAACATTTCCATCAATTGCTTTAACGGCCGTGTGATCCAATTTTCTTTCCAATCTAGGCAATTAATTTTAGTACTGGGAGAGTAATCAGCAAACTCACCTGTGACAATGCGGTTACAGCGTTGGATATCGACCACACTGGTCAGCTTATTTTTGCTGGTGATGCGCAGGTATCAAATAATTTGATTTGCTAAATATTAATGTGGAATTTAAATTTCATAGTTTTGAATTGGTGCTTGAAATGTGCAGGGTTACATATACACTATTAGTGTGAACTCTCACACAGGGTCTTTATCTAGAACTCATAAGAACAAGAGTTGTAAGAGCAAATCTTCCATTACAACCATCCAGTACCGTACCTTCTCTCTCGTAGCACGTTGTCCAGTACTTCTCTCTTGTGCTCAAGATGGAAACCTGTATTTCTTCAGGTGTGTACTTTATTACAGTCCATCCTGTTGTGGCTTCCACTTTTATCTCACCAGTATTCTGTTATTGGCATTTCAGCATTGCAACAAATTCCCATGGATACTTGACTCTCATATGCTCTCTAAAATTGGCTTCACCAGTGCAGAATATCCGTGCTTCTTTCTGTCCACTTCTTTCCCTTGAGAAAGGGGAATTCATAGGTGAGTTGGAACTGTTTGTAGTTGCTTTTTTCCGAGAAACCATAGTTGTTGGCTCTGGTTAGCTGAAACTTAAGCGGTTTGCACCGAATTGCTACTGCACTTTTGTATTGCCTGCCCTCAACTTTTGCTTAACTATTTCATTAATCGCTATGAATGCCGAGTCATAGTTTAGTCCAGTGAAGTATCAAGGTGATCACAATTGCCACTTAATGCCAAGTTTTCCTGATCAAACTTTGTTACACTACTTTTTTAGACTGTTGAGTTGAACTTTTGAAACAAATTAATAACCTGTGATGGATATCTTTGGCAACTGAGTGTGCTTGCTTTTCCAAGAATAAATACACCATCTTTCATTCACCAGTCGCAACCCTTTTGTCTACCGCCTATAAGACAAATGCATTCCTGAACTTTTGAAAATTAAATAAATAAATGTAGCTGACTTGTATTTTCTTCTGACTATGAAGTTACTGGCAGTGGAGATTCGAATGTTTACTTCTATGATTTGGCTCGGCCAAAGAATTCATGTGTAAATAAACTGCAGGTATGCTTAGTGTCCCTATACTTTTTGCATCTTAAAATTTGGTTACAAGTTGAGGTATTGATGAAGCCATTTACATCCCTGAAGGGACACGGCTCTCCAGTAATGGGAGTAGCCTGGAATCACGGGGAAAATTTGCTCGCCTCATCCGATTCAGACGGTACAGTTATTGTATGGAAACGAGCAAAAACTAATTAGAGTGAACGCCACATCTCGAGGATGCTTGTATACAACAATTGTAGAGGCTGATACATTGTCCCAACAGAGGCATTGCCTAGCGCGCATTGTACCCGCCACCATGTTGTTTGTAACATACCACAAGGCCTGGGCAAGAAGATGGACCGGCCTTCAATTATATTTACAGAAGTATAGGTCTCCCAGTAGAGTGTAAATCATTTTCTTTCCCCGGTGTATCTTGTATCATTTCATGCTTTTGCCCCCAATTACATTGATTTTGTTGTTCAATACTGAAAGGTATAGTGGAAATAGTACCCTGGGTTTTCAAATCCATTTGGTGCATCATGATGTTGCTCTTCAAAACAAAGTTTATGAACTGAAATGGATTTGCTGCATTATTCGACATGTTCAGCATTACCGAGTTCCATCCTGATGGTTGCGATTTACTCGGTATAATTCAAGTTACCAACACATCTAACATATGTATGTACCGTTCACAAATTGGCACGTTTAGTAGGATAACAAGTTACGTACTTCCTTCGGTTTCACTTTTTGGGTCCTTGCAAAGGACCCTCTAGCCACCAGTGCCTGCGCGTGATGGAGCAGGCTTTTCATAAACAGTTTTGCTAAGTCTCAATCGACTAAGACTTTGTTAATTCTTAGTTGATGCTATATTCATAAGATTTACATTGAGATCCATGCTATTTTTTTTCAATTTTTCTTTATCTCTCTTGCATGTTATGTCACTTGACCGAGACTTGGTTAAATCTCAGTCGACTGAGACCTAGCCACACCCTTTCATAAAAGGAACGAGGGCACCGGCATGGACTGCGCTTCGGTGCCTTAAGGCCCTGTTTGGTTCCAAATAAGTCACCAACTTATAAGTCGAAAAGTGAAAAAAGTGACTTATTTTGCCAAACAGACCCGACTTATAAGTCACCCCAACTTATAAGTCATAAGTTGCTCCACCCCAACTTAAAACTTATAAGTCACCCCCTTTTACGTGGGTCCTACCATCTGCATGATGTTGATTGGTGTGGGTAGGTGTGTCAGGTGACTTATAAGTCAGGTGACAACCAAACGGGCGTGACTTATAAGTCACTGGTTTTAAGTCACCTGACTTATAAGTCGGGTGACTTATTGAAACCAAACAGGCCCTAAGGCACCTGGCTTTGTGCGTAGACATGTGGGCCCAACAAGTGGCTAGCCCACATGTCAGGGACCCAAAGGCAGGTGCCTTTACGGCACTGAAGCTGCGTCGCACCTGCATGGGTATGATCCCTGTCTCTGGTACACTAGCCCATGTAACTTTTAATTTGACCGTTGAACTCAGATCCGTTTTCATCATTAGCCCATGTAACTTTTAATTTGACTGTTGGAATTCAGCTTTGTTTTTATCATTAGATTATTTGTGGCGAGTTCTTCGAAACTAGATCCCACATGGGTATGTTTTGACTTTTTTCTCAAGAGCAACTTTTGGTGCTATGAAGGCAATTTCTTTTTTTAAGGGAAAAGCAACACTTTATTTCATCACAAACAAGGAACGTCTATTACATCCGAAATAATAAAACTAGGGGGAAACCTAAAAAACAGTAGAGTAGAAGTAAAAACATGTCTAACAAACAAGGAGCCGTCGACGACAAGGCGGAGTGCGGCGCACTGATGGTCCTGGAGAGGGGAGGGGCGAGGCCCGCGAGCCTATGAGCTAGGGCACGGCTCCTTTTCTCTCTCTCTCTCTCTCTCTCTCTCTCTCTCTCTCTTTTCCGTTTGTATGGGGGAAGGAACAAAGGAATCTGACAAATCAGACGGTCACATGGTGCAGGATCAACAATGGAGAAGGTGACCGATCTGGGCACCCCATCGATCGGCCGATGCTGAGTATTGCGCTCTCTCTTTTTTGAGAATGCTGCTTTTTTTGTTTATGATGCCACTCCGTGTACTCGCCGTTGTTTCCCAGTTACGGATGAACATTAGGAATTGCAGAACGGAGAGGAAACTGAAAACAGCTACTGTAGATGTTCAAATCTGACCGGAAAAGGCGTGGAACAAAGACGGACTGTTGTGCCCGAATCGGAAACAGCCACGCACAATAATAAGTACAAGAGCCCTCCAAGTACAAAGCAGAAGCCCCACACGAATCGTCAAATCGTAACAGTTCAAACAAAACAAAACAACTCACGAATCGCCTCGCCGCGCCGCCGTTCCCCTCCTCCCGAATCGCCTCGTCCCCGTTCTCCTTCCCCGCTGCGCCAGTCGAACGATGTCGGCATCCCGGATCCCACCACGGACGATGTCGGCGTCGGCCTGCGCCCCGGAGACCGCGCAGGGCACGCACCTGTTCAAGATCGACGGCTACAGCCTGTGCAGGGGCCTCGGCGTCGGCAAGTCCATCCGGTCCACCACCTTCCGCGTCGGCGGCCACGACTGGTGCGTCTACTTCTACCCCGACGGCCTCACCGAGGACAGCAAGGACTACGTTTCAGTCTTCCTCGAGCTCAGGACCGAGAACGCAGAGGCGAGGGCGCTCTACCATCTGAGGGTGGTCGACCAGGTCTGGCCGCCGCCACCTTTCACGTGGCCGATCCCCAGCCAGTACCAGCCGCTGGTGTTTAACTCCGCTGATGACTATGAGCGCTGCTGGGGCTACACCCATTTCATGAGGAGGACGGAGCTGCGGCCGTACGTTCTGGAGGACACCCTTATCCTCGAGTGCAATCTTGCCGTCATCGAGTTGAAGGACGCCCAAGAGGCTGATGTCAAGGTTAACTTTGAGGCCCAGGCGCCGCCGTCCGAATTGGTTGATAACCTTAGCAGCTTGCTGGAGGCTACGGAGGGATCTGATGTGTCTTTCAAGGTCAAGGAGGAGGTTTTCCCAGCCCATAAGATCATCCTCGCAATGCGGTCGCCGGTCTTCAGGGTGAAGTTCTACGGCCCGATGAGGGATGAGAGTAGCCGCAGCATAACCGTCGAAGACATGCAGCCCGCTGTTTTCAGAGGACTGCTTCACTTCATCTACACTGATTCGTTGCCTCCATTGGATTACCTGGATGACGATGAGTATGAAGAAATGGTTAGGCATTTGCTGGTGGCCGCAGATAGGTACGCCATGGAAAGGATGAAGTACATGTGCGAGATCAAACTTTGTGAGGTTCTTCATACCGGGACTGTTGCGACCACCTTAGCTTTAGCCGATCAGCATCATTGCAGCAAGCTCAAAGATGCATGCATTGGATTCATCAACTCTTCAAATAGAATGGTTGGTATGATGGCAAGTAAAGGGTACGAGTCCCTGAAAAGGACATGTCCTTCTGTCATTGCTGATATATTGGAGAAAGCAGCTAAGACTCGTAGAATTTAGTATGCTGACCGTAGATTAACTTGAGAGTGTGTAGTTAGTTCAGTTGAGATAGTAGCAATCTGGGATTAGTCTGCCTATTTCTTATGTTCTCGGCGGCTGCTACAAATAAACCGGATGATTTCATCCGCCTAACCTGCCGTCCGATCCGTTGGCCATTCGATCGTAGCAACGCCACGGCAGCACCTAGCGAGCGCAAGTTCATCACAACGCTGATGGCATCCGGCAAAAACTTCATTGTAGCCTCATGGCAGCACCGACAACGTCCGCTGAAGCTCCATTGCAGCCCCGGCCGAGCTCCAACCCAGCACCGACGACTCCGGCGAAGCTCCATTGCAACCTCGACGGAGCTCCAACGCAGCATCGACGACTCCGACGAAGCTTCATTGCAACTCCGGCGAATCTCCATTGCAACCTTGACGGAGCTCCAATGCAGCACCGACGGCTCCGGCGAAGCTCATTGCAACTCCGACGAAGCTCCATTGCGACGCCGGTGTCGAGATGAAGCGGTGACGCCGGCGCCGAGAGTCGCCGCCGTACATCAGCGCTTGCAGCACCGCACCTTCTGCAAGCGCGTACTTCCCTTCCCATGTTGCTCTGAAGCAGGCGTCGCCGGCGAGGACACCACACTGCTCGCAACACGATGGACGCCCCGCTGCTTACACACCGCCGCTACGCAGCACGATGGGTGCTTGCAGCAGGCGTTGCCGACGAGGATGACCCGCTGCAAGAGACGTCCCTTGCAGCGACGGCGGATGCAGCTGGTAGCTGTTGCAGCGACGTCGATCTGCAGCATTGTGCACCGGCAACCATCGATTGGAGCAGCATAGTTGGGTAGCAGCGCTCATGGCGGATAGACTTGAGAATTGAGGGAGCGATGGAAGGAAAGGAAGCAGTGATTTGGGGAAGAAAGGAATGGGTGGCTCACGGGGTCGCGTCGGAGATAAGATAAAAGAGCGGTTGGTGGGATCCAAGGGGACACGTTGGTGTGTTGATGCCACCGACGTCCACGGCTGGAGCGTGTGACTGGGAAAGACGAGCGTCGCACGATCGAAGCCCATCAAACGGCTATCGACACGGTTTAAGCCAGCCAAATTCCAGCCGGCTTAGAATAAACGTTTTCCTATGTTCTCAGAGATCTTGTGTAAAAAGGTAAGTTTCACAAAATGTATGTCTTCGATGTCATAATGGGCCACTCTCTGTAATGAAGCTATGCTAGATAAGTAGCATTGTTCTGTTCTATTGACTAGCAGCACACTGTTTTTCGAATTTTCCCTTTATGCGGTCATTCCATTTCTCAAAACTAGCTATCATGACCATATCTATTGTGAAATTTCATGAAACGTTAGAAACAGAAATAACAAGTTATTTGGTAAAATAACTGACCGGTTCTGAACTTTTATATTGTGGAACTGCTAATTAATACACCATGTTCATCGTGTGTCTCTTACAATATCAACATCTTTGTTTTTCTCATCATTGCCCCAACAGAGGAATTGCCTACACGCACTGTACCTGCCACCATGTTGTTTGTAACATAATACCACAAGGCCTGGGCAAGAAGATAGACCGGCCTTCGATTGTATTTAAAGAGTAGAGTGCAAATCATTTTTTCCTGGCGTATCATTTCATGATTGTTTTCTTAGAAATGGAGGTATACCCTGGCCTCTGCATCATGATGATGCATGCGGCCTTTTTATTAAAAATCCAGAAAATATCATCATAAAGGTCTTACAGCTCGCAAATGAAGCAAAGTCATAGCACATAAATCTGAAAAATACAAAGGGCCTAAAAACAACCGATACGGTGATAATAACGACAAGCTCTGTAGCCCTCTATCATGTTATGCGAACGCCATCCGAACCGGTTGAATATAGCCCGAGCCACCATCTCTCATTGGTTGCACCCAGGAATCAAAGGCTCCCTGAAATCCATAGGAGTGAGTAAGGACCACGTACGGATCCAAGCTGTAGCTCTGAATATAACCTGCAAAAAAGTTAAGTTGTGTTGTCTGTTAAAAATCATATCATTTCTGCAGTTCCATATAGCCCATAGTAACACAAATATTCCAATCCAAATACGAGCTGCCGTGATCTGTTCAACCCCCAGCTAACCACGTCCCAAACAAAGACGCAATATCTACTAGGGGATTAATATTAAAAGCTATATGAATCGTTCTCCAAAATAACTTGGCAAGTGGGCATTCAATGAATAAATGTTGTATTGTCTCATCCTGAGCACAAAAACAACACCGCGAGTTGCCTACCCATCGCCTCTTAAGTAAGTTGTCCTTTATGAGTATTACTTGCTTGTGGACAAACCACATAAAAATTTTAATCCGCAAAGGAACCTTAACCTTCCATATATGAAGTGACCTTGAGAGGGGGCCAGAATTAATCAAATCCGTATAAAAGGATTTCAGCGTAAATATCCCATTTTTAGTTAACTTCCATTGTATAGAGTCCGGCACGCCGGAGAGTCGAACTTCAATCAATCTCCGAACCAAGTGCATCCAGGTTGTCCATCTCTCACCCACTAACGTACGTCTGAACTGGATATTCAAGGGAATAGTTTGAAGGACTATACCTACGTAATCTTCCTTACGTTGCACAATATTGTAAAGGGTAGGATATTGTAAGGCCAAAGGTGTCTCTCCTAACCATGTATCCTCCCAAAATCTCGTTGACATCCCGTTGCCAACCAAGAATTTGACCCTACGAAAGAACAGATCCTTCGTTCTCATAAGTCCCTTCCAGAACGGTGAATCAGTTGGTCTGATGGTAGCTTGGGCTAGCGGTTTCGAGTGCAAATACTTATTGCGCAGGATTTGAGACCACATGCCCTCCGGCTCTGTCCCTAACCTGTACAACCATTTTCTCACAAGGCATTTATTCTTAATTTGCAAGTTCTCAATACCGAGACCCCCTTGGTCTTTAGGTCGACAAAGGATATCCCATCACGCGAGACGGTATTTCCTCTTGGCCTCATCAGACTGCCAAAAGAATCGAGATTTAAAGAAATCAAGTCGCTTTCGGACCCCTTTCGGAATTTCGAAGAACGAAAGTAAAAACATTGGCATGCTAGTTAGTACTGAGTTGATCAGAACTAATCGACCTCCATATGACATCAGCTTGCCCTTCCAGCAGTTGAGTTTTTTTCAATTCGTTCTTCAATACATTTCCATTCTTTATTGGATAATATACGATGATGAATCGGAATACCCAAGTAACTGAATGGTAAAGCACCTAATTCGCATCCAAACAATTGTCTGTAAGTATGTTCCTCGTCTTTGGCCTTCCCAAAACAGAACACCTCGCTCTTATGGAAATTGATCTTTAAGCCAGACAATTGTTTGAATAGACATAAGATAAGTTTCATGTTACGTGCCTTAGCCATGTCATGTTCCATGAAAAGAATAGTGTCATCAACATATCGTAGAATGGACACCCCTCCATCAACCAGATGAGGAACTAGACCCTCTACATGGCCATGTTGCTTGGCCCTGCCAATAATGACGACCAACATATCTGCAACAATATTGAACAGAAGGGGTGACATGGAATCCCCTTGTCTCAACCCCTTATGCGTCTGGAAATAGTGACCAATGTCATCGTTCACCTTAATTCCGACACTACCCTTCTGGACTTGAGTATCCACCTGGTGCCTCCAGGTTTCACTAAAACCCTTCATGCGCATTGCCTACTAAAGAAAAGGCCATATTACTTTATCATAAGCCTTCTCGAAATCCACTTTTAAGATAACCCCATCTAGTTTCTTCGAGTGAATCTCATGAAGTGTTTCATGTAAGACAACTACTCCTTCGAGTATGTGTCGTCCCGGCATGAATGCTATCTGACTAGGTTGAACCACCGAGTGAGCAATTTGTGTCAATCTGTTGGTTCCAACCTTTGTGAAGATTTTAAAACTCACATTCAGCAGGCAAATGGGTCGAAATTGTTCTATCCGGACCGCCTCATTCTTCTTCGGTAATAATGTTATCGTACCAAAGTTTAGGTGAAACAACTCCAAATGGCCATCGAAAAAATCATGAAACATAGGCATAAGATCATCTTTAATGATATGCCAACATTTCTTATAGAATTCAGCTGGAAACCCATCTGGTCCCGGTGCTTTATTCGGCTTCATTTGAGTTATGGCCAAATGAACTTCTTTTTTAGTAAACGGTGCAGAGAGAACATTGTTCTCCACTACCTGCAATTGAGGTATATCATCAATCACAGACTCATCAAGAGACACCGTGGAAGTATTGGGAGGTCCAAAAAGGCTTTTATAATAGTTGGAGATATACGTTTTCAAATTTTCATGCCCCACTATTGTTCACTCGTCCTGTTCAAGCTGTATGATTTTCTTCTTCCTATGTTTACCATTTGCAACCATATGGAAAAACGGTGTGTTGTCGTCCCCTTGGACAACCTTAAGCGTTTTCGCACGCAGCGCCCACTTGAGTTCCTCCTCTCTCAAGAGAGCACGTAGGCCTTGCTCAGCCTCGGACTTGGTTCGATGTTCATTAACGGAAAGAAGAGTGGTTTTAGCCTTTACATCGAGTGCCTCAATGAGTTGCGTTAGATGTTCTTTTTTCTGCTTATAAATCCCACTCTCATTCCTGGCCCATCCTCTCATAAATTGTCGGAGGTGTTTAATCTTATTTTGCCATCTCTCGACATGTGTCCTTCCCGTAACCAGCTTAGCCCATTCGCGTGCAATCATCTCCATAAATCCTTCTCGCTCAAACCAACTTTGCTCGAAGGAGAAGATATTTTTGTTTGCAACATGGGTAGCCTCTCCCGAATCTAAAAAGAGTGGTGTATGATCCGAGATCGCTCTTTGCATCGCATGAACCGACACCAACGGATATTTTTGTTCCCACTCCGCACTAGCAAGTACCCTGTCCAGCTTTTCATAAGTTGGAACAGGTAACGAGTTGGCCCATGTGAACTGTCTACCGGTGAGCTCAACTTCTCTCAAATTGAGACTCTCGATAA